ATATATATATATATATATATATTTTCATGTTCACATATATAATGTAATATATTAAAAAAATAATTTTTGATAAAATAAAATTTGTAACATGCATGTTACTTTTTATGCTTTCTATTTATTGTATACGTTGATTAAAAAAATCAAAATAGTAGAGATTATAAGATTGTATACGTTGATTAAAAAAATCAAAAAAAAAATTGAAAGATTTTTGTTTTATGTATAATTTTTATTATAAAATATATTTTAAAATAAATTATCATCTAAAAGTTTATACTAGATATTAAAAACATATTTATATCATAAATGAATTAAACTTGATTTTTATAAAGTTTAACATATTTATTTTTATATTTTTATTATTGCTAAATTATTATAAATTAGGTCTTTAAGGTGGTAGTTCTAACTAAACATTTAAAATATGCTTATGACATATATTTTTAATGAAAATTAGGTTCAGATCTACTAAATTATAATATAACATAGTCTAACTTAATTTATTTTCACTTCTAATCATAATCATAAATATAAAAATTTGTAAAAAAATAATTATGATATATATTTATATTTTTAAAATTTATATATATAATTTTAATATTATAAATATATGAATAAGTATTACCTCAATTATCTAAAGTTTTTAGATTTATTACTGCTCTTAAAATTAAAAATTAAGACTAATTTAATCTTTTAAAATTAATTATAAAATTTAAATTAACCCTCACTTATGCAAACTATTTAATTATATTGTTAGTCAATATAAAATCTCTAATATCATCATATACATATGAAAGACATCAAACCTGAATAACAAGGGTACCAACTCCACCAGCACCTCCTAGAACAAGTATAGATTGACCAGCAGAAAGCTCAACTCTTTCAAGTGCTTGATAAGCAGTGAGGATGGCTACAGGAAGACTAGCAGCTTCCACAAAACTCAAATTGGAGGGTTTGAGAGCCAATAGTTTCTCTTCTGCAGCAGCATACTCAGCCAAAGATCCAATGAAATTTGGATTATTCACAGCGAAGTCAATTATATCACCATAAACTTCATCCCCAACCTTGAATTTCCTCACTCCACTTCCCACTCTTACCACCACACCAGCAGCATCTAAACCTGGAACAATCTTAATTTCGAACACCAAACAAAACATCAAACAAAACAAAATGATAAGGTAAAAATTACATTAGTGAAACAAAATGGAAAATTTTGCTTATACATATAATTAATCTAACTCAATAATAATAATATTCTTACAGGTAAGGGAGGGTCAATGTCCTTCAAATACCCAAGAGCCCTCTTATAATCTGCAGGATTAAGGCCTGCAGCCACAACCTTGATTAGGACTTGGTTTTCCTTTATGTGTGGTATAGGTATGTTGGATTCAAATTTGAGAGTCTCTTCTATGTTCCCATATTCATGATAGATCCAAGCTTTCATGTGTGATGGAATGCTAGAAATGCTTTCCATTATATATCTGAAGGGAAAAGAGTTAGAGAATGTGAGAATTAATTCCTAGCTAGCTTGCAGTTGAACTCAATGGAGTCCGTAGTATATTTATAATATGAAGCACCAGTAAATACAAAAAGAAAGTGAATAACTAAAATATATTTTAAGTCTCTCTATATATATTTTTTATATTTTTTAATTATTCAAATTAAGTGTCTCACTCCAAAATTTATTATTTTATCAGCAACGACAAAATTTATTTATATATGAACACAAATTGTGGCAATTGGCTCAGGTTAAATATTACATTTTATGAACAAGTTTGGAAGAGGTCTTCTTACCTATAGCAGCGCCCCTGGCATAAAAATTATCAGATTCACATGGACAAAGTTGTGCCAAAGCTTTGTATAAAATTGTCCAATTCCCCCTCCCCGTCCACACAAAGCACCTAAATTTCATCTAATGATTAACCTAAATACAAGAAAAGTATTCTTTTTGTCAGCCAAAAGAAACGTAAAGTATTCTTGTTGTTCATGCTTCGAGGTGCGGTTTTGATGAGAGATGGGTCCGGTGAATGGAAGGTTGTGTATGTGAGGGTACTTTATCAGCCCTTGTGAATGGGAGTCCTACGGCAGAAGTATCTATTGGTAGGAGATTAAAGCAGGGGGGCCCGTTAGCACACTAGTACAAAAGAAGTATTTCACGTCGGATATTTTGAGCTTTTTACGTCAAAAAAAATGTCGACATAAAAGCGGGAGACGTAAATTTACGTCGAACCTGTAAATCTGACGTAAATTTAAATCAGACATTACGAAATTCAACGTAAAAAATAGTAAAAAAAACAAAAAAAAAACATAAGAATGCAAGCAGAACGGTCCGTTCTGCTTGCAGCACGGCCCGTTCTGCTTGCAGCACGGCCCGTTCTGCTTGCAGCACGGCCCGTTCTGCTTGGAGAACTGGCTGTTCTGCTTGGAAAACGGGCCGTTCTGCTTGGAGAATGGTTCGTTCTGCAAGCAGAACAGACCGTTATGCTTCGTAGAACAACTCAAAAGAAAACGCCAACGTCCTATACAAATAGAACAACCAAAAAATTGGATAAAACAGATAGTCACAGTAGCAATGCGAAGTAGAAAAGTGTTAACGAAACCTTTATTCATACCTTATGAGCAGCAACAGTGTGCGAATGAGTAACAAAGAAGATCATCGATTTTATCAAATAATATAACAATAACATTCATAAGTTAATATAATAATCAATAGAATTAGCAATTTAATACAATCTTAACATAAATAGTAAAACCCCCAATTTTTCCAAAACCTAACTCACAAGCACTTTTCTACAATTTTGTTCTCTCTCCTAGATCATCATTCTTACAAATTAAATATATATTTATAATCCTCAACACATACAGAATCTAATGGTATCATTAATTTCTCAAACAGAAATAATCTAATTTTTCCAAAACCTAACTCACAAGCACTTTTCGACAATTTTGTTCTCTCTCCTAGATCATCATTCTTACAAATTAAATATATATTTATAATCCTCA